TTATTTATATATTTTTTTGGTACCAGGGATCAAACTTGAGACCTTGGCCTTGCAAGGCAGGCACCAGAACCACTGAGCTAAATCCCTGGCCCTGTAATAAACTTTTCACTTTTTTAGTTTTGTTTTTTTCTTCCTTAAATTCTTTTATTGGTACATTTAAGGTAAACAATACATTTACATTTATCATTGGGTGTTTGTACCTGTACGTAATGTATCTTGGTTCTTATTTTTTTCCCCATTACCTGTGTCCCCTTCACCCTCTCCACCCTTCCCTACTTGCACAAACTTTGTTTCCATTTTTTCTTTTCTCATAATTTTTCCTTTCCCTCCTTTCCTTTTCCCTTCCCCTCCCATCATCCCTACCCCCTTGGACCTTTTCTCCTTATTTCAAATTATCAATTATTCATTTTAATCATTTTAATTCTTATTTACCCTTTCACTTTCGCACATGAGCAATAAATCTTTTAAAATAAAATCTGTAACTACAAATACTTTACTGAATCTAGTTCACAAATGTGTAGTGAGGTTTTGAACACTGATTTTCATAGAATTTCTGAGAATATCTTTGAATACTGAACCACCAGATCTTTATGAGTATGACGTACTATTTTAATGTACGTTTTTAAAGAGAATGAAAAATCCATTTATAGCTTAAAATAAATAAAGTCAGAAGTTGACTCTTGTAAAGAATATATTTGTACTGGCCAACACAGCGAGGAACTGGGGAAGGACGGTGGCCCGCGCGGCTCCACGCAGACAACTTGGCGGCGATGTCCGAGAGCCAGAACACAAAGTTATCATTGTTGGGTTGGATTATGCAGGGAAAACTACCATCCTTTACCAATTTTCTACGAATGAAGTTGTACATACATCCCCTACAATAGGAAGTAATGTAGAAGAGATAACCATTAATAATACATGTTTCCTGATGTGGGATAATCGTGGTCAAGAATCTCTTCGCTCTTCCTGGAATACTTACTATGCTAATACAAAGTTTGTCATAGTTGTTGTGGACAGTACAGACAGAGAAAGGATTTCTATAACTAGAGAAGAACTCTACAAAATGTTAGCTCATGAGTACCTAAGGAAAGCTGGACTGCTGATTTTTGCTAATAAACAAGATGTTAAAGAATGCATAGCTGTAGCAGAAATCTCCCAGTTCTTGAAGCTCACTTCGATTAAAGATCACCAGTGGCATATCCAGGCATGCTGTGCTTACTGGACTCTTACTGCTGAAGGATTATGCCAAGGGCTTGAATGGATGATGTCACGACTTAAGATTAGATGATCTCTACTGGTCTCTTCTCATAGGCTTTGTAAAAACAAAGTGCTGGACTTCACCTGAAAGCTGCAAAAATTAATGGTTTAGATATATTTATAGTAAACTGATTTAAACTTTTTCTAAAGAAGAAAAATTAAAACCACTTATTTGAAAACAAGGATGAAGTTTCACCTTCTAATTTGCTTTCTCATTAGTTCCTTCCAAAGTATGTTATTAAAGCTGTGATCAATATTTTTCTCATAATAAATCCTCTCAGGACATTGTAGAGACTGTGCTAAGTAAAAAGGGAGAGGAAGACATTTTGAACTTTGAAGAGCTTTATTTTCAGTGCAGCCCTCCCTAGTTGAATGTTCTCTTCTTGTTCCAGTAAGTGAAAATACAAATCAGCACATACCATTTCCAATATTTTGAAATGTAATGTTACTTACAAAAAGTATTTTGCTTAAGGCTGTGTATGTATTGTGTATATACCTCAAGTTCAATTAATGGTTTCGAAGTATGTCCTAAGAAAAGCAAGTAACAAAAATTAATATCCTTAGTCATTACCATAATGAGATAAGTACTGGCACTGGTGTTAAAGTGCTGTTTTGTACTTTTCTCCCATGTTATCTGTATTATACTAACCAAGCACCTTAATCATTGAACTGCTCTTCAAACAAACAAACAAACAAAATGAAAGAAATGCAAAAGTTTGACATAGTATACCTATTTTTTATTGCATAAAAGCACGCATGAAAACATAACCCAGCCAGGGATTTAGCTCAGTGGTTTCGCCGCCGGCTGTGCAAGCGCAAGGACCCGAGTTCGATCCCTGGTACCAAAAGAAACCATAACCTAGTCAAGTAGACTGTCAGATTCTTGGTTTGGTATTACTACTGGACCAACTTGCACAGTGAAGAGTTGCCACATTTATTCCCTTTGTTGTTTTCTATCCATTAATCAGTTGTTCATAAATTGTGATTAAAACTATCCAGTGATTTCTTCTTAATTGAAAACTAGTATGTAAAACATGTCTATTCTGAGAGGTAACATTCTAAAACTACTGAACTATTTAGCTAAAGTCTTTTAAGGTACTAAATTATATGCCAAGCAGTTAAAGTGAATTAGAGAGTAGGAGTAAGTCATACTTTCCAAGCAGTATTCGTAATTTCTTAATTTGCAGATCTCTTATTTCAGTAGTTGGAATAGTTTGAGATTTTGTTTCTATAAGTTTTCTTAGATCTTCCTCAACCACATAAATGCATTGCTTAACAATTATAAAGTGCATTTTTAATGCTTTTGTGAATTTGATTGAGAAATTCACATGGTATATTATTTGTACTAAGAAATAACTTGACCCAAAACACTTTTTATATTTGTGTAGGGTTTTTTGGTTTGTCTTTTACTATCTTTAAAGGTGTTTCTGTCATAATTATAAACAAAATTTACCTGTGGTAAAACATATTTTTGGGTATTCATGTATCTTTCATGCTCTGAAATTTTGAAGGTTAAAAATGGCATGTTATAGAATATTCAAGAAAAATAACTACTCAACACCAGCTTTTTAAATTGCAGTGAAGATTTTGGTAAAGAATAATACTACATACAATAAGAACATGGATGAAACTTTGAAAGTTTCATAAAATATAAATTACTCAATATCTTAAATCCAAATTAGACATGGAAGATCAGTATTAAGGTTGGATTTTTATGTTTTATACTTGCTTTAATGTTCAAATGCAGATAAAACATTTAATATTTATCATCATGCTTTTACAACAGTAAATCTGAAAGTACTAAGCTTTGTTCATATGTTTTTGAACTTTTTCACATCACTACAAGAAATCATTTGTTGTATATTAAAAATTCCTTTAAAAAAAGAATATATTTGTGCTAGATAACCTAAGAAAAATGTTTGTGTTATTCTTTTTTAACACATACTGAAAGATTTCATAGTCTGAAGCCAGTGTTCTCGCTGCTATGCCATTGTATTGTACCCATTATAAGAAGACCATTGAGAAATAGACGAATTAACAACAAAATTTTAGGAAAAATAAAGTTTACTAATCCAATAGAAGATGATTGGGTTATCAGAGACATTATATAGTATCATTAATGTGATGCTGCATTTATTACAAATACAAAAAATAGATTCAGACAGAAAATATAGCATACTTGATTGCATTTTCATTTTGCTTCAAGTCTATCATATGAAAAATTGAGAGAATAATCTCAATCTTTATAGTAAATCCAGAAGAATGATGAGTTGTTTAAGATCAATAATATCAATTTTTAAAATCCTTTATTTCTCTGCTTTGTTAATGTGAGACTGTATCAAACAACTTACTGGTTGAAGCCAAATAATGTGATGAGTGATGTGAAGTTCCATTTTATGTTTGTACAGGTTTATTACTTTCAGAAAATAAACACAAACACAATCCAATTAAATTTAAATTTAATGATAAATTTCTGATACACAATAACTTAATATAGATATATTCCAATTATTGCATGAGGCACATATATACTAAAATAATGTGGTATCTGTCTGAGATAGATATCTTGATTTTGTACTTTATCTAGCAACTTTAAGTTGTTAAGACATAATCTTACTGTGGTAGCCAACCAGTCATTTAAAATATTTGTAGCTTAGTCTTTGTAATTAAGTATCTGGAAGAATATGGGTCGTTGTAGAAAATTTTGACTCTCCAAAAAAATCACCTATTAGTGTGTCAGTGATTTATGTCCACTCTTCAACAAATGCTATAAGCACCCATGCTACCAAAGAAAGGCTTCAATTTAGGCTTATCTGCCTGAGAGAGGGGAACAAACATATATGAATAGTTTTAAGAAAAGAGAAACATTTTGCTTCTTATTAGAAATCCAACAGTGGTGAGGGTTCATCATGTGAAATAACAAAAAGTGACTTGTTTGCCCCAACCTAAAGTTGTAGCAGGATGAAAAATAAAGGTCAGAAAATTAGGATGTAGCTTGGCCCTGAATAAGAAAGGAAAACAAAACATAAAATACCAGTGAAATTTATACTTTATTGCCTCCTAAAAAGAAAAATCTCCAATGGATCCAGAATTTTTGAAGATATAGTAATATCCCTGTTTGGGAATGCTTCTTTTCACGATTAGGTTCTCAAACAAAAGCATTCCACAAAATTTTGCTTCTATTCATGAACTGCACCTTAGGTGACAAAGCCATCTTCCCCACATAAACACAAATATGCCCATCTGGCCCCAAATCATAAAACAAATTAAGTTCATGAGCCAAGGTACCAGTGTAATATCAATTTTCTTGATCTACACATGATTCATAAGTAACAAACAGAGGCACGGGTGCCTTATGATTATAATCAAATACCAAAAAATCAAGGCAAAAAATGAGATCTACCAATATGTGGCTAAAGTAGAGCTCAAGAAAGATCTACATTTTATGACTTAGCAGATGTACATGTTGGATATTAATTAGTTTCACCTTTATTAAATCTTTGGACAATAGTCTAAGGTTTTAAATATTACATCTCTGGCATCGACCTGAATGAGAATGTATGATTATTTCTTCCACAGATTTTTGCAGTCACATCAATGATGTATAGGCAGAATGAAGATCAGTAGCCTTGGGAATGTGCCAATATTTGCTTTAGCATTTCTCCTCAATAGGATATAACTTAAACCCTGTGACAGTGATTCTTATAATTTTTAAATTGTAGTCTTTCCTAAATTAAAATGTTTATTGAGGTTGCCTTGCTTTCTTTTTCACTATTTCATTTTGCATCTAGAATAGTATTGAAATTAACAAATAGCTGGAACTTTGCAGGTTTTAAAAGAGAAATACCTAGACATTTTTAAATTGCCTATATTTCACCTTCACATCCTGGAATTTGAAATGGTCGTACTTCTAAATATAGGTGTACTAGTCACAAATTCATTTTTTGTAAATGGCAGAGTTGCAATGGATTTGAAATTCTTTGGTGAAGAGAAGACAGTACCTGGATTACTCCAGGTTTTGGCTTTCCAGTGACAGTGTGTAGCACACTTCTTCACAGGAGCTCATTGTCAGAGTTTCTTATGTGATCCTAACACCCAGGGTATGACACTCTTTCACCCTGGATCAGGCTGAAAAAAGTTGCTTGGTTACTTGATTCACACCGGAAACACAAGGCTTTTCTGCTAGTAAAAACAAATGTTTTGTGAATCATAGAGCTGAAAACTGAGGACCCCAGAGTCATCAGCCTAAGAATTCACTGGCACATAAGGTAGAAAAACAATGACATGGGAAAAAATGGAAAGCAACAAGAGAATGTACCCTGAACAAGTGTATCTAAGTACCCTGTCTATTGATTTCAATCTGAATACTTAGGATATTAATTGGTTGTGGTTGAATGGATTGTAGTCAAGATTTTATTCTTAAAACACAATAAAATAGAATAAAATGGTATAGAATGATAAAATAATTAAAATATCAGGATGCATCATATATAGTAAATGATACATGTATTTCTGTTATGTATATACATGTATATTCATGATTTCCTAGGATTACAGTTTTTAATTTGAATAGCTATTGAAAATGTGTGAAATTTGGTTAGGAACATAGATATTCTACTTCTCATGACTTACCCTAAGTGAGCTACCCTAGTATTTCTTTTACTATCTTCCTTGTTTTAATTTTCCTTAGTGTTAGAAGAATTTTATATACTAGCCATTTGATCATCCCAACATCTCTACTAAACTTTTATTATCCCAATGATAATACTGAGAAAATTGAAGCATACAGAGTTGAAGTAATTTGCTGATGCTCAATTAATTGGTAAAGAGCAGAGTCCAAATTTATAGTGCCACAATGGAAAACTGTGTAAGAGGTGAAGCCAATGGAATATTGAATAAAATCTCTTTTGTAGAAATATACAGTAAAATATTTCACAGAATGAAAAACAATATTGCTTAAATTGGAAAAGAAACTGTCAAATTAATTAGGTGCATTAGACTGAAATCACAGTTTTCTCTTGCTCAGACACA